TTTTTTTCGTTCTAAACGACAATTCGTGGACACCCTCGCATTCCGAGTATTTTCATTTGTTTGCTGAAGTTAAAGACCACTTTTCTAATTCTGATTTCTACACCTATCTCCCTCTGGAGAGACCATTCTTAGGTGTCAACTAGAAACGGTCTTTTATGTGGCGATAGAGAATCAAGAAAAGATGTCTCATTGGATCAGGTAGAATTGGTATCTTCTGTGGATTGATCGTTCTTGAGTAGAATGGCTGGAACTAATAATAGTAGTGCTTGAGTCTCCTCACTTTTCCCAGTGCCTGACTCAGCTTCCCTCCTTGTTTTATTGCTGTTAATGTGCTCCTAGAATAGAGATGCTTAACACGGAATCCCGTAGTGCATCACGCTATCCGTGTTCTTAGGTGGTATCTGACCCCCTTCACACGTCGATTTTGTGGGGAAACGAACAACCGTTTCATTCAGCTTAACGGATTTTTTGGAGTGTCATCCAACTGTTAAACTGGATATGGGATTAAATGATTCCTTATGCTTGTCTTGTCTTCCTCATCTGTTGCCTCAATAAATTAACACTGAAGAAAATTCATGCATTCGAGAGGCAAAAGAGTTTCTGTTGAGGTTAAGCTCCAAATTTTAAGCGACCGTCGCAGCAACACTGACAGCTTCACTCCTTCACATGGGATTGTTCCACACGCTGCTTGATGCAAACTGCGTTTGGTTTCCACCGGTGTGGTTCGGTGTGACAGACGTAACACGAGACGGCACCGCGATACAACACACTTGAAGGGAACAGCGAGTGCAAATCGGGGCATTCTTCGTGGCGCTTTGTGTAATTTTGAGGTTCCAGTTCGCCCATATTTGACGAAATTCGACTGATGCTGTCTAACCGCTGTGACTGTCGTAATATAAAGCAATCACATGTAACAATAGCTTGTTCGCACCCGACTGGACCAAACATCGCGTGAATAACAAATTTGAAGACTACGCGTACCCTTGGTTCCAAAAATTTTATATGTTTCCTGGACGTGATGCCGGGAGGCGGGGGTTGCTGGACGAACAAGACGGCTAATTTTCGTAAACACAGTTTTAGTGTCCGCATGCATCTACTGAACATGCGCCAGTTCCCAGTTGTGCATCTTCACTTTGTGAATAGGTTTACATTTGATGAAAGTAATATTGTTTTT